TTCTGTTTTAAATTGTAAAGTTCACAAACATTAACTATGCAGATTGCTTTTGCTTTGATATATGTCTATCCTGCAAGGGAAGGAGGGAAAAAAAGCTAACTTGCCCCCTTCCCCGGCCCCTCTACTCTTAAAAAATATATATATAAATGAATAAAATGTGATTTTGTCAAGTTATGTTATTCAGTGTCTATTGGAACATAAGGGCATGTTATTAGTTGGTTTTGAAACCCGCTACTTCATATTTCCAATCCTTTGGCATTCTTATATTTGCTCTCCTCCTTGGTAGGATTTTAAAAATATAGCAACAGGAAAGAGATTATGCAACTTTTACAATGAAATACTTAGACCTCTACTAAAATAAGAAAATTGCAGAGAAAGCTGACGTAAAGAAAACCACTAACCCCAAATTAAAAGAATGAGATCAAAGCTGTAGTCTGACATAACTGGTGCTTCCACACAGGTACTTTACCTGTGTTTTGATATATCAAAAGAGAGGCTGTGAGAAAGGGCAATTTCACTACCTCGTCCTTTGGTCAGCACACCACACCCTGTAAAAGGCTTCTGTACAGTAGTTTGTAATTATGAGCATGGGTAGAGATGAGGTAGCTGGGTGAGCTAATGCACCACTGTCCACAAAAGACCTGTCAGCAACTGATGTAAAAAAAAAAAAAAAGTCCAGCCAAAATCTTTTTTTCCCTCCTTCTTTCTTCTGAATTTAACAATAAGAATTTAAGCCTCAATGTGGCTTTAGCAACCAAAGAAAAGAAGCTCTTGGTGTCTGCATAATACCACTTTGATGGATTTTTTTCATCAGTCCTCTGTACTGGCAACAAATAAACAAGTATAATTATACTTGTGAAGGTCTATTCATTGCTTTGTCAGGATTAGATATATGTGCCGTTTTCACACTGAGCTTCCCTTTTGTCTTTGCCTAACTCACTATGACATATTGATAGAGGATTTGGAATGGGGAGAAGGCCACAGCAGAGACAGGGATGACCTTTCGGAAACTTGATATAATTCAAGGATTTCTACTTATTCATTCATTCATTCATTCATTCATTCATTCATTTATTTATTTAGGATTTGTAACTTCTTACCAAATTCTCTCACTGGTGAACAACTCTTAGCCCATTTAAAAGGAAGTAAATAAAGACTCAAAGTGGTAAGAGGTGGCAAAAGAGCAGACGAGAATGAAAACAATGGGCTAAGGAGCACACAGCTCCTTTCCCAGCACTTAGCCGAGTGGCTAACCTAGCGTTCCTTTCCCATTATTCTGTTCTCTGGATCAGATCACGTTCTTTTTAAATCATTTCTCAAATGCGGTCTCACTGGAACGTAGAGGAGGGCTGGGACAATCTCAATTTAAAAACAGAGGTAAAACTGGCCTCTCTGATTTTGGGTCCTAATGGGAATTCTGCTTTCTGAATGCAAAGGAATTCTTCTATTGTTCAAAAGGCACCCCCTTTCATTAGCCAGACTCCTTGGAGGTGGGTTTGGTCATTTAGCAGAGCAGCGTTTAGGCAGCTGTGACTACAGGATGGAAGAAGCAAAGCAGAGAGAGTAATAAAAGTTATTTTCTGCATAGTGTCCATTATTTCCGAAAAAAGGGATTTACGTGATCAAAGTCAGTAATCTTGCGAATTACTGAGAAAAACCAAAAATCTGTACACGTGTTCTAAGTAGACCAGCAGGTATGTATTGCTCTGAATATTGCACTAAAATTAAATTAGATTTTGTCTCTGATATTTTTCTGGAGGACTTTTGGTAATTTCTCAAAACATAGAATATCAGTAAGAAGAGACTAGAAATCAGCTTAAATGGTGAAGTGACTTTTATCGTTAGTTCACTTGCCATGCAGTCGTTTTGGAATGAATTCCGTGGTTTACGTTAAATGGTAGTCTGTGTGGTCTTTTTACTGGGGCTTATAAAACTTTAAGTTTGCCTAACTGGGTCACTTGGTAAAAGATCTTGTCTGACATTGATGACAGTGGAGTCACTTAGCAACAACATATTTAGTGTCGCTGTACATACCGATCTAAACAACTTTTTAAGAACAAACTCAAGTGACCCCATTGAAATATACTGAGAAACACAGTCATGGCTATAGTCAAGAGCTAAAGTATAAAAAAATAGAAAATCCGGTAATGAATTACCAGCTAGATCAAGTCACAAAGTTTTGTTACTGTTGGTTTGGGAAAGAAATGCACTGTAGAAAAGATCTCAGTAAGTATTTGCCTTCTTTATGATAAGCTTGTAGCTTATATATGACATTGACAGATACTTTTGCATACAATGTTACATGAGTATTGTAACAAACCATAGCTTGACCTGGGATAGATTCTTACTTATATTTATATTCTACATAGCAATAGTGACCTGTTCTTTTTGAGAAGTGACTTGTGTTCTGTTCAGGAAAATAAAGACATGATCTTTTTATAGAGGGATATCGAGATGATATGTTGCACAGTTCATTTGGCATCTGGCTCACCTTATTAATTGTACATTACACACAATTCATTTAAAGTGCCCTCGGTGTGGGGGTGATAATTCCAACAAGGGCTTTTATGGGCTGAAACTGTTGCAGGGATATAGTTAAAACAAGGTTCAAATAATAATACTAGTAATAAGCTCAGAAACTTCTTTTGAAAGCTGTAAAGTGTTTGGGAATTTTTTTCCCCACTCATTACAATTAAGGTGAACCTTCTCCCACATCAGATATGCTCGTCATGCCTTATAAGCGATCTGACATTTGTTGGAGGGAGACTCAGCCTAGGTTCTGGAACTTCACATTTTAATGTAGACTCACTCATCCAGTATTGCTTACAAACTTGCTCTCGTACCAAATCCCAAGTCCCTCCTGCCTTCTTCTTTTCCTCAAGTCCAGTAAGGGATTATACTGTAGGCATTCTGACTGCCTTTAGGAGATGCTGGATGTTTGTGTAGGATTGGCAAATGCAAAGGTAAATATTAATGTTTGTGGGCCTAATTACAAAATTATTAGGTTTTCAAGCTCATGGTTATCAGATTATTTTAGAGAGTTCTAAAAGCCATGTGGATGCTATGAGAATAATTAGCACTAAGCCTGGTGGTGTTTGATTTGTGAGCAATTAGCATGTCATTTTAACCATCTCATATAGCAAAATGAATTTTGATTTAATTTTCCATCTATGTAGATCTTTTGATGTATTCTAAACTGGTCACTTCCTCTCTGGCTTGGCTGACAAGATTAGATTTGATTATAGTAAGGAGAGTATTAAGTAGCTAGTCTTCCTACTTACTCTGCCAGTGACCTTCAGTGCTGCCTTCTGAAATGCACAGCGAAATTGGTGACCTCAGAGTTTTGTTTTCATTGATGCTCTCTGCCTGTGTGAAGACTTTGCAGCAGAGTACGATCCAGGCTGTTATCTTGCAATTTCTGTCTTCTTCACCTGAACGTACAGTACAATATAGCCATGCCAACTTTTCTAATTTCGGAATTTGTCAGAATATGTGGATGTGTTGATATCTTAAACTTATATTTGGTGGGGATTGGGACCCACTCCCGATTTGCTCTGGAAATTTACATTATCCTTGTGAATCATGAGCCCAGTATTATTTGCTTCGAAGCTCGATGTCCCTTCAATTTTAAGGTTTGAAAGAACGTTGCTGCTTACTGGTTTCATAAAATCAAGGCAGAGCCTCTATCATAGGCTGAAAATACACCCTGACGTTTCAGCCCACTCAACTGTTGTGTACAGTGTCATCATTCTGCAAACGGAGAGATCTTCAGGGACTCAGGAAAGCTTAAACTGTAATCAAGCTGCTATTACAGTAGCTTATGTACAGGTGCAGCACGAGTGTGCACACACACACACACACACACACACACACACACCAGTGGGCACACTTTTTAGCAATGCATGCCCAACTTCCCCCTGGTACTTTACTCTGCTGCCAGAAACAGATATGGTTTTTATGGAGGGCATCTTGTGCTCAACAAAGGTAGTTTATGGTTTAAGATGCCTGCCGGGGGGAAAAAAAAAACCTGGGGGAAAAAAAGATTGAAGGTTTTTCATGGGTAGTGCTTGTGTATGATTTGTTAAACCAGGGGAGATGTTGATGAGGCAGTAGTTGAGAGATGGGCAGCTCACCAGGATTGATAACATCAAAATGGTGTTTGAAATGGTGTTCATTACGTATTGCAGTGGGGGGAAAAAAAAACACCTGAGTGAATGTGATTGTCCCCTAGGATGATAGGACTGGTTGCAGTAAATATTAATTTCTGTTCTGTTGCCCATTGAGGTGACTGAAGTGTGGGGGAGAATGGTGATTGGTGCTTAATCAGGGCCAGCCAGATACCTGCTGAGAGCTTTTGCACAAGGAAGATTTGTAGTAAGCGGATTTACTGGCAAAATGAAAACCGGAGAAGAGTTTGGTCTGTGTTGCCTCTGACAGTCATATTTCTAATTTTAAGGTTTCTTTGCTTGCTGGCCTCCCTACCATACCTATCCCCTTTCTAGTTACTCCTGATGAAAATGAAAAGTAAAAAAAAAACCCCACAAACAAATGAACACAAATAAACAAACAAAAAGAAAAACCACATCGTGTATGGTGTTCTCTTATTTTGCCTTAGTTTAGGAAAACCATTTATGCCTCTAGTAAGGTAAAGTGGATTTTGAAGCCTTTGTGTGTATATATATTCCATGCCCTTTTCAGAAATAGGAACGGGAGAAAAATCCAAATTCCTGATATGAATTTTAGATTTCTGATGGACTCCCCATAGCGAGTTCGGAAACACTGGGGATGTCTAGGCATGCTGGTGATGTGATCGCTATCTGCATTATTTTGCTACATGTATACAAAGTCTGTCTGTGATCGATAGGTGTGCGGGCTTTAAGTTTTATCCGTCACCTTTTTAGATAGTCAAGTTTACAGCAACTGTAAATTAGTGATGGGCTATTAGTGAGCTGTGTCATTATTTAATAAAAATGGCTTCTCTCACCTTATTTTTTATCCAGGTCCCTGACAGGCTGGATGAAATGAGATCCCCATGTAGCAATTGCCATGGAAACCTGTGACTCCCCTCCTATCTCAAGGCAGGAAAATGGGCAGAGCACATCAAAGCGATGTGGAACGCCACAACTTGATAATGAGGTGCCAGAGAAAGTTGCAGGGACGGAGCCTGACAGGGAAAACAGCTCCACAGATGACAACCTGAAAACGGATGAGCGCGAAAGTGAAGTCTTGCTGGGTTTCGGTGTCGTGGAGAATGCGGCTGCCACTCAGGTTACCTCAGCCAAGGAGATACCCTGCAACGAATGCGCCACTTCTTTCCCCAGTTTACAGAAGTACATGGAACACCACTGCCCGAACGCCCGCCTTCCGGTCTTGAAGGACGACAACGAGAGTGAAACCAGCGAGTTAGAGGACAGTGACGTGGAAAACTTAACAGGGGAGATCGTTTACCAGCCGGATGGCTCAGCGTATATAATTGAGGACTCCAAAGAAAGTGGGCAGAATGCACAGACTGGGGCAAACAGCAAACTCTTTTCGACAGCAATGTTCTTGGACTCCTTGGCGTCTGCTGGAGAGAGGAGCGATCAGTCTGCTTCCGCACCCATGTCGTTCTACCCACAGATCATCAACACTTTTCATATCGCTTCATCCCTCGGGAAACCATTTACAGCCGATCAGGCTTTCCCAAATACCTCAGCATTAGCAGGAGTTGGTCCTGTGTTGCACAGTTTCCGTGTCTATGATCTCCGACACAAGCGAGAGAAAGACTATCTCACCAGTGACGGCTCAGCCAAAAACTCCTGTGTGTCCAAAGACGTCCCCAACAATGTGGACTTGTCCAAATTCGATGGTTGCGTTAGCGATGGTAAAAGGAAACCCGTTTTAATGTGTTTCTTGTGCAAGTTGTCGTTCGGCTATATCAGGTCATTTGTAACCCATGCTGTGCATGATCATCGGATGACCCTCAACGACCAGGAGCAGAAGCTCCTCAGTAATAAGTGCGTATCCGCCATAATACAGGGGATCGGCAAAGACAAAGAACCTCTTATAAGCTTTCTGGAACCAAAAAAATCCACTTCTGTGTATCCCCATTTTTCTACGACCAACCTCATAGGACCCGACCCAACCTTCCGCGGGTTATGGAGCGCTTTTCGTGTTGAAAATGGGGACTCCTTGCCGGCTGGCTTTGCCTTCTTGAAAGGAGGTGCGGGCCCTGCGAGCTCCGCCGAGCAGCCGTTAGGGGTCACCCCAATGCCAAAGGCTGAAGTGAATCTGGGGGGGCTGTCTAGTTTAGTAGTGAACACCCCAATTACCTCTGTCTCCCTCAGCCACTCATCGTCTGAGTCTAGCAAGATGTCAGAGAGCAAAGACCCCGAGAACAACTGTGAAAGGCCAAAAGAGAGCAACGTTTTACACCCCGACGGGGATGGCCCTGTCAAAAGGGAACCTCCGGAACCCCCGGGAGATGAGGACGAAGAAGACGCATACTCCAATGAACTTGACGACGAGGAAGTATTAGGTGACCTCACCGATAGTATTGGTAACAAAGATTTCCCTCTCTTAAACCAAAGCATTTCTCCTTTATCATCCAGTGTGCTAAAATTTATTGAAAAGGGTACCTCCTCTTCCTCGGCCACTGTTTCCGAGGACACGGAGAAGCAGCAGCAGCAGGCGGCCGCCGCCAGGGCCAGCGGCACTCTTGCTAATAACTACAGCCTCAGCGGCGGCGGCAAGGACTTGGCGGATGCAATTACCAGTAAGGACAGCGCCACCACTGCTCACCCAACTGAAACAGCCCGGGGCGACGAAGACAGCTCAGCCACTCCTCACCAGCATGGCTTCACCCCCGGCACCCCTGGCACGCCCGGGCCTGCGGGAGATGGCTCACCGGGCAGTGGCATCGAGTGTCCAAAGTGCGACACAGTTTTGGGGTCTTCGAGGTCTCTTGGAGGTCACATGACTATGATGCATTCGAGGAACTCGTGCAAAACCCTCAAATGCCCCAAATGCAACTGGCACTACAAGTATCAGCAGACCCTGGAGGCCCATATGAAGGAGAAACACCCGGAGCCAGGTGGCTCTTGTGTTTATTGTAAGACTGGCCAGCCTCACCCCAGGCTTGCCCGGGGTGAGAGCTACACGTGTGGCTATAAACCCTTCCGTTGTGAGGTTTGTAACTACTCTACCACTACCAAAGGCAACCTCAGTATCCATATGCAGTCCGACAAGCACCTGAACAACGTTCAGAATCTCCAAAATGGCAACGGGGAGCAGGTGTTTGGCCACTCGGCCCCGGCCCCCACCCCCAGCCTCAGCAGCTGTGGGACCCCCTCTCCGTCCAAACCCAAACAGAAGCCCACCTGGCGCTGCGAGGTCTGCGATTACGAAACCAACGTCGCAAGGAACCTCCGGATCCACATGACCAGCGAAAAGCACATGCACAACATGATGCTCTTGCAGCAGAACATGAAGCAAATCCAGCATAACCTGCACCTGGGCCTCGCCCCCGCAGAGGCCGAGCTCTACCAGTACTACCTAGCCCAGAACATAGGCCTGACCGGCATGAAGCTGGAAACCCCGGGGGACCCGCAGCTGATGATCAATCCCTTCCAGCTGGATCCTGCCTCGGCGTCCGCTTTGGCGCCAGGACTTGGTTAGTATTTACTGCTTTTCTGGGCTGCTGTTAGTTCCCAATCACGTTTGGCTTTGGTGTGGTACACCCAAGTGCCAAGTACCGACAGATGGAGGGCAGGTTACTAGAAAGGACTTTCTCTTTCAGCTGGATAATCCAAGCATTTGTGTGTCCACTTCAAACTAAATGGGCTTCACAGAAGTGGGAGTTAGGGGGTCTATGGCAGCAGAAGAGTAGTCAGCAAACTTTGTCCTCAGTCCTTTGATTAACAAATGCTAGTTGGCGTTCATTGTCTGCAGCGGCCAGCCATACCTACCTTCTGAGGCATGTCATTTCTATCTGGGTTATGGTTCCTTCAAATATCAAACTGGAGATGCTTTGAAATGATCTGCCGTATATAAATCTACATAAATGCCCGTGCAAATAAACATATACATGTATGTTTTAATGCAAATGTTTTCATGCCTGTGATTGCACATCGGTAAACGAAAGGTAATGCTTTACCTGGTGCCAGGTCTTCGACACTGGATTGCAGACACGTGTACAGTGTTAGCCCAAGCTCACCAAGCTGTAAGACAAATTATGAAATAACAATGAGTGCTTATGTAAGTTTACCTAGGCTCTTAAGTTGCAAGCACACGATGGTTTTGGTGTGGTATTGATCAACTTTCTTGTCCTCGAAAATACAAATTTCAGAATGACATCATGCCCAGTAGGAGTAATTAAAGCTATCTGATGAGGGAATTTAGAAGTTGAAAGGGATGATTGTAATTGATCCTGATTCAATCCTATTACAGCTTTTTATAGTTTAAGCTCTAGAGAAAGCACATTCCTTGTCAAGACTTTATTTTACAGATTCCTTTGTGTGTACTGTGTTTTCTAGTCTCTATTTTTCTGTTTAATTTTTTTTCCTGTAGTAAATAATGAGCTGCCGCCTGAAATCCGGCTTGCCAGTGGTCAGCTAATGGGTGATGACCTGTCCCTCCTTACTGCAGGAGAGCTGTCACCTTATATCAGTGACCCAGCGCTGAAGCTATTCCAGTGTGCTGTTTGCAACAAATTCACCTCTGACAGCCTGGAGGCTCTAAGTGTGCATGTGAGCAGTGAACGCTCTCTCCCTGAAGAGGAATGGAGGGCCGTCATTGGAGATATCTACCAGTGCAAGCTCTGTAACTACAACACACAGCTCAAAGCGAACTTCCAGCTCCACTGCAAGACCGATAAACATATGCAGAAATATCAACTGGTGGCTCACATTAAAGAAGGGGGCAAAAGCAATGAGTGGAGGCTGAAGTGCATCGCCATTGGCAACCCTGTTCACCTAAAATGTAATGCCTGTGACTACTACACCAACAGTGTGGATAAATTACGCTTGCATACCACCAATCACAGGCACGAGGCGGCCCTGAAGCTCTACAAGGTAAGCAGTGACATCCATAGGCATTGGCACAGAGTAGAGAAGGGGATTAACTGTTTCAGAGCTTGGAGCACAACTCTGCAAGTTAAGGGGGTTGGGGTGGAGGGGCCAGAAAGGAAAAATACTGAAACTGGAGAATTTATTTAAATGACAGGTGCCCCAGTCACGCCTGTCACTGGCATCTATTACTTCGCTGGTTTTCTGCAATTAAAAAACAACAACAAAACTTCTTCGGGGTGCTTTCATGTATAACATTATATTCGGTAGACCACTCATTTCTTGGATTTTTATAGACAGTATACCTCTTGGCTAAGTGTTAACAGTTGCAGGGAGCAGAGGAAAAAATTCATTGCTGGGTCTTGTGAATGATTGGCCTTTATTTGTGACAGAGACAATAACAACATGAAGATTTCTTCTTCTGTGTGTTCCCAGTAGTCACATCAAGTAAGCACACTCTCCTAGGACATTAGTAGAAAATTTTTAAAAGTAAAATCTGTGGATTCTTTTTGCATACCTTTTTTTATCTAGCATTTTTTTCCCTAAAAGTGAGTAGATAGGTATTTTCATAAAATGACATGTATATGTATATATGTGTGTGTGTGTGTGTGTATGTATTTGGTCTGTCTTAAAAAGTATGCCAGTGGATTGGATGCGTGCAAGTGATTAACACTTTTTATTACCTTACTTGTCTTGCCTTTTTTTCCTAAACTCCAATTACTGGGTAATTTATTTTCTACCACTTGCTTCCTGGATTGGTTTGATTGTTTTGGTTCATGTAGAAATGTAATACATTCATTTCTTTGATGATTATCTTGGTAACTTAGTTAAAAAGTTCTTTTGTCTAGAGAATATTAAAATTCAGAAAATATTGCAAACCATTAGTCATTGTAACAAGCTCTAAAAATGATTACAAAATCCATTCTGAAAGTGTTATCTATTGATTTGTACTAGAAATCAGTGAAAACTATACTATCAGGAGTCAACCAGTGATTATAATACTATGGTTTTTCTAAAGCTGTTTGAAATTATAAGCACACGATGGAAAAAGAATAGATTGTGGCTCTCTAGATTAGGGGTAGGAATTATTTGCTTGAGTTGATCTGTTTCCATTTGCTTGGGCTGTTTCTTAAGTTCTAAGTGTAGATTGATGCACTGGGCATAATCGCCTGAAGACTCTCAGTGTGAGAATTTGTAAATTTGTCCTACTGATATTGGCACTCTATGGATCAATAATGAAAGCATTAGATTTGGGTTACACAGTGTGAGGGGAGTACAGTTCCTAATGCAAGATGGAAGGCCTTGAAGGTGATGGTATTGACAATATAGTATAAAAGATTAATTGTATTATAATTCATAGGTTTTGCAGCCATAGTTGACAATTCAATTGTCTACTTTTTTCCTGTTGATATCTGACCTATCCAAACTTCTTGAATACCTAGGAGAAAGAAAGAAAAAATGGCAAACATTAAGTTTATATAAGTAATAGATCTAGACCCTGGAAGTGACATAGAATATTCATGAACAATGTTTATAGTCACACAGTTCCTTTAACACTTCAAATTAACATGATGTCAATAGAAGAGATACATGTACACCTTATTTCTATTTTATTAAGCTCGTGTGGACACCTTAAGAAAGGTAGTGTTATTGTTTACTTTCCCAGGAAAGGCTATTTAATTTAATTGCTTGATTATGTAAATGTGTGTGTGAAATGTATCTGTTTATTGTATTCTATGTATTGACCACTTAGCTTTGAGCAGAGCAATTTGCTTGGTATAATAGTTCCTCTGAAAAGTTATTTTACAGCAAGAGTTAGATACTGTCTTTGAATGTATAATAATCAATTGACATTAAAAGTTTGAGCATTATGAGGAATATTTAAAGCAGAGAGAGCTTTCAATTCCAGAACCAGAGGGTATCTATGCTCCCCACCCCCCACCCTCCTATACACACACACCTATTTATTTACTTAGAATTCAAATGCTCAGTCATCCTTGTAGTGCAGCATTTAAATGCTATCCCAAGCAAACAGAATTATTCTTTGGACAAATTTACCTTAAATGAAAGAACATCGAAAGGATCACTGTTAGGGCTGTTAAATCCTGGTATGACCATTTGACCATGTCCTCCAAGGCACATTCGTTGTGTCCTAGCAGTAACTAGACAAACCCTCCAGAGGAGCAGCATTCGAAGGGGCCACTTCTAAACTGACTTACAGAAACAGTGAGAGTCGGATCGAGAGGATGTTAAAGGCAGTAATGAGGACATTAGCAAGGTTGGTCGCCTTGTGTTGGTAAAATAAAATTGGTTCATAAGTAATATTAATTGCATTTAAATGAGAAGCTAACAAATTGGCTTGTGCCTGGAAAAATGACGGTGTGTAATACGGCTAAAATATTAAAATTAGACTTAAATAGTTTCTGAGTTAATGACTAGACAATAATCTGCTGTAGAAAATTCATTTTCATGAAGAGTTTAATTTACATCATTTGGCATCATGAATTATTTAGACTTTAAGGGAAGCTGACAAGTAGAGCCTCCAAGACGAATACGGAACTGCAAGAAAGCAGCTTTTCTCCTTACTGACAGCACATTGATGCGTAACACTCTAACTGTGGCGATGTGGCGATATGATTTGGGTAGACCACTTTACCACTTGCATTGTCAAACTGAAGCTGTATTACCTAAAAGAAGTGTGGGCCCTCATTCTAGTTTAAGGAGGTTGAAGGTGAAAGGTTAAGGGTTAGCTTAAAAGCATCATCTGCCTAGCTGCTTAACTTTAAACTGATCAGTTTAATGAAAATCTGTTTTACAGATGTTATTTTAATGTATTTGGCAGGATTTAGGCAGCTTTAACTTTAGATGTATGCTAGTAAAAATTATTTCTTTATTTGACCAAAACAACACCTTTCCTTTTATGTTTAAGGTAAGAAGGCTTGTGGGTTATGGTATTTTGGCAAGGGACCCAGAGGCAGAATGTGTTGATGATCTTTCCATATGGACTCGAAAAAGAATACCTTTATGTCTATTGCTAACGATGACTACAAAAACAAACAAAGCTGTATTCATTTTTGGCAGTGTTATATTCCTTGGATTTTTTTCTCTTCAAGGAATTTTGTTGTGTTAAGAAAATGTTACTCATTTCTTAAAGTGAAATCCTCCAAAACTCCAAAGTGCCAAGGACTATTATATCTTAATTTTTTTCTCTCCAGAAATTGCAATGTGGAAGCAACATTGGTCTAGGAAATTAAAACAATAAAACGAGATTGCAGATTGCCCTTAATCTTCTCTTTTAATGTGTGTGTGTGTATTTAAAGTGAGCTTAATACATATTAAATGCATAGCTCGCTGCAGTCAGCCCTGTTTAAGGCTAAACAGTGTTGTTTAGGTAACCAGTTTGTTATATTCGATTTTATTCTTACAGATTCCATGGCTTTGCACCCCCTACAAATTTTAGGGAACTGGTGCTCACATAATGGGTCCTCAATACATATGTGAATGATGAATGATGGACTAATGAGTTAATGAGGGAATGCATTAAAGAAAAAAAAAGTAGGACACTGCAAATAATCGACCGCACCTATATTTCAGCTACTCTTATAATATTATGTGTATTGTTAAGAGTTGCTAGTTCAAAGTCAAAACCTTAATTATACTAGCTTTCTTCTTCCTGCATCTGCAAATAGTGAAGCAGGATAGTCTGTCTGAATTCCATAATGCTGTTTTCATATTTGGATTTCAAACTGGCTGCGAACAGTCAATGAATCGCTTGTCTCCATGGTGAGCAAAGGAACACATGTGGGACTTAGTCCTAGATAACTTTTAGTATAACGTTCCCCCAAGGAATACTTTTGGGGTTTTCTCATTATCCATGTTATGGATGAAAGAATCAGGGTTAAGGACTAAAATCAAGGTGTAGGGGAAGCTCGCAAAGAACACAAAGAGGCATATTGGAGAAAAATAGGTGGGCAAGAAATGAAAATAATTAGTTTCACCTCGTCTTGTTTTGTTTTGTTTTTAATTAGTGGGAAATAAGAACCTGATCAGTTTGGAATTCATAACAGATCACAAATATTTTCATTTCAATAGGTCTGAGTCCAACTTGCAATTTAAAGCCGAACATACCAGATAGGTACCACTTCAATTACTGAACTGTCATTGTCCCTGTGTGCTGGTAAAAGAGGTCAGGAGATTGTGTGGTATGAATTTGCATAAAGTCATTGTGCAAAAGGAAATTGGAATATGTGTGAGCTTATAAGAAACCAAGACAGGTTTTTCTTAATCTTATTCTAGTCATTTGTTTAGATAAAGAAAGCTTTTTTCAGAGATAAACAAATGTTATTCTTTTCTGTTGCTAAATATGAACCTAAATATGGAGATTTTTACACTTTTTGTATGAGTTTCATATTTGTGTTCATTTCAAGGTTGAAATACAGTGTGAAATTTAATTCCAGTTGCAGAATGGGTTTTAAAAAAGTCATCATAGCTCAAATTATTAGATTTTATTCTCATACAAAAAGATATGGCAGATGTTGATGAAACCATTTTCTATAGTAAAAAATATATGCATGCATAATACTTATCACTAATAAACAGGCCAAATAGAGACAAGTTGATTAACAGCAACTAATGGATCAGTGGTGCTTCACATGTAATGCCTCAGTCTTATGCACTTTGTCTAGTTCTGTTTTTAAGCACAGCCTTGACAACTGCAGCATCAGTATGGAATGTCTTACTCCAAGTGAAATGTAACTTTCTAAGTTAGAACCCTCCTTACAGTCCTCTAAGACTGGGATGACTCAAGGTGATCTACCTGCCTACTTACCTACCTACCTGCTTCCCTAGCTAGTCAGCCAGCCAGCCACTAATCCATCCGCCCGTCCGTGTGTCCGTCCATCCATCCATCCATCCATCCATCCATCCATCCATCCATCCATCCATCCATCCAAATAAAACCCTAGAAACAAGGCATTATACATGACATTAACAACTTATTGTAGCCA